CTGTGGCGGTGGTGAAATGCTGTGGCGTTTGTGAAATACTGTGGCGTTTTGTGAAATTGTGGTGTATTGCATCTTGCACTAGGGCCACCGTATAATCATTTATGTTTCCCCAGCTAACAGCGATGAAGGGAAATCTATCAGCTCCAGCTTCAAATATCAATCCGATAACTGCAGCCACAACGGTCACACTTGAAACCGTGTGAAAATTGTATTTGAAAATAATCCACTTTATTTTAATCAGCCTTTGAGCTGCAGATTGGCAGGATTCATCAAACGCATCTGATGTCAAAGAATAATCCTCTAAAGAGAGGTTCAAAACTGTGGGGGGGGAAACCCTAAAATACAGTTTGAGCTATCTTCTCCCATTTAAAATACAATTTGATGGATGTAAAGTCATATCTCTTCACCACATGCTTGACCCGAGTCAGAAATAAACCCGTTGGTTGTACACTCTGCAAGTCCCCCCCCCCCAGAGAAATGTAATATATTTGCACAAATCCGGACTATAAACATGTGCAATGTTATTTTCCAGGTTGCTTTAACACTTATAACACCACTTGTTCTCTCTAACCATATCATTTTAAATTCAAATGCTTTACATAGTTTATATTAGAGAGAGAAAACTCCCTCTGGAGGGAACAGAGATTTTAGCCTTAGCAGACCCATTTACATAATAAAACCATTGGTTCTCAAGTGGTCAGGCCTCGGGACCCACTTTTTTCCTTTGTCAATAAATCGCGACCCGAAATTTTGAACGACTCAAATCTATTCAACAAAAAATCGTGCAGTAATACGCTTTTCATCACATGATATTAATTAAACTCAAGCACAGTGCATATATCCCTTCACCGAACTAAAGTATGCTTTTAAAAAAGGTTTAATTAGATGATGGTCATCAAGTTTCTAGAATCAAAGCTGAACTGTATAAGAAATGTGACATGCTGAAAACCCAACCCCAGGAGATTTTTAGAAATACTAACATGTAAACTACGCATTCTGGTACACTGAGAAGAAAATAAATACATCTATTACTACCCGATATATTAATAATGTTATGCCATTGTTTGTTTTTTCACTTTGTTCAGAAGCTGAACCTGCTGCCCCACACAGAGTGAAGAGCAAAGAGGACTTACTTTAAATTGTGGCTAAGGGTAGATAGCCCGCATTGTTCTGTGACCTGTCAATCATCAAACCGGGGTCATATTTCATTATGTGTTCATTTTTATCTGAAGTTGTACCCATGGATGTATAAAGAATAGTTCTACCGCAAAGTTATTCTCCGTGGGGACTTCCGGCAACACTCTTGATTCTGATTGGCCAGAAGACTCGAAAAAAATATTTTTGGAATTTATTTTTTCTTCACTCACATCTACAACCCACTCGAAACGGGCCCACCAGTTGAGAACCACTGCACTAAAACCTAAATACACTACAGGAAAGGGAAAACTCCAAAAACCATAGCCATACACATTCAAACACCACAGCATCAGAAACACTTTTATAAAGGCATTATTGATGAAATACACACTCAGGTTTTGACAAAAGCTTCTGTAGATTTGTACGTAAGAAATTCCCGCCCCCATTCTCAGACCCAAAACTCCTTGAATTCAAATCCGGCAATGGAAACCAGTTCATTACATGTGCAATAAATAACAATAATACAAAAAGGAGGCAAGGAAAAGGACACCTGAATAAGTGCCCGAGTTCACCTGAAAATAAACGAAGTCGGGGCGGAGGAGAAACGAGAGAGACGAGACTAAAGTAAAATCCAGTCGTTTTGTTTTTCGGGTGCATTAGTGTATGTTCTGAGAGTTCCTGGTCACCCTCAGGACCAGAAGGCATTTAGTGACCTGAGGAACTGACTGGAAAATGAACAAAAGCAGAAAAAAAACCAATGAAACCTGGAACCATCGGAGGACCGTATATTGCACATCCTGCAAATACAATAACCACAAAGTTTCATTTATCTTGACCCCAAAATGACCAACGATGGATTTATTATGCAGAGACGGCGCATTGCAGAGACACACCTGGAATAAAACAACATTCAAAATTCTCGAATTTAAGCCATTTTATGAGTCCGGTATAAATTCCACAAAAAAAAAATCTCTTTTCAAAAACTGCAGAAGCCACTTTTTTAGCATAAATAAATAACAGTAAAAAAGAAAATTGGACAGATTTTTTTGTACGACATTTGCTATGGCTCACGGGGGCTTTACCCAATATCCCGAATTACTGAAACTAACAATCTCAATCTAGCACTCGTACACTAAAATCAAGGGGATTTGCCTTTAAAAAAAAAAAAGGACTTTGCCGATCCTAGCGCCAGTAAACAATCTCAAAGAAGGAAACGTCACAATCCTGAAGTGGTAAAACACTCCATAATTTAACATGTATTTGCTATAAGGACGGGATTCAGTGCATGTGAGCTTCTCAGAGGCCGAGCAACCTGTGACAGTATTTTGGAGTGTCGATATATCCATTTGTGTTGGTCCAATCCTCTGCCTCCACACCAACCCTGAGATTACTGAAAGCTCTACCTAGGATTTAAAAAATAAGGGACAGTGTGAGCCGGCAACAAAAGAATCACCCTCGTAGAGTGGACACTTATTACAGCAGAGTGAACAGAGAAGAGCCAGGAACGATTCTGCTGCCAACAAATGAATGCTGAGAGAAAGGAGAATAAATGGTTTACTCTCCTTCACATCGATGTGGAGGTGTACCGGCTTGAAAACCGGCTCGAAATCAACATTTCCACGCAGCCCACCTCGCTCAGATCCCAGATAACAAACGGGCTGACAGGTGTTAAAGGTCAAAGCGTCGGAGACTCTGACACACGGAGACCTTTCGTATCTGCTCCAAGCCTCTTAACTCTGCTGTCACTGATGTCTCTATGCCGGGCCGATAAAGAAGGCACCAACATCGATCCACTGCAGCGTTCAGACACACACTGAGCCGCAGAGAAGATCGAGATAACCTTGGGAAAGTGTTTTCGAAGCAAGTCTCAATCTGAACGTTGACCCGAGTCGCGTATAACAAGCGTGAGTTTCACTTTGAGGAAATTGCAGCTAGCACATCTGATTTCTCACCATTTCTCACCATTTCCTTTTTATTTTTCACAGTCTATGTGCGAGCCCAGGCAAGAGAGCACCAAACCAGACAATACGATGAGATGAAGGGAAAAGGAACACCGATCTCTGCACCACAAGATAAAGACAACCCAAGGACTGAAGCGCGAGCAATATCAGTGCGAAAAAAAACCAGGAGGTCTTTGCAAAACAGTGCTTTTGTGTCTGTCTGAATCTTTTTTGAACATTAGCACCAAAGGAAGCACCGAGACTTTTCTGACCGTCACAGACTCTTCCATCAGGTTCCCCTTCACAGATTACACACCAAAAAAAAAACACCAGGAGGAAGAGGAAGCTTTGTTCACAAAACACACACTCGCAGCGTCTTGTGTTCCTGCATCAGATTTGGTGTGTGAACGTACAGAAAAAAGAATCAGCAGGTTGTAAAATAGATATTTAACTAATGTAATCTATATCTTATTGCTGCTTTTATTTATGTGTTTGTGCTGATGTCTTCTATGCATTGAGAAAAGCTTACGATGATGAAATAAAGATATTTGTATGAGATTAGCATGCTGCCAAATAACAATTGGTCAACGACAGAAGATAAACTCTGCAAAATCTGCACATTTGTGTCTCATCATGTAGGTAGTATATGTATACTCTGTGATTTGTCTTAATATCTGCAAACCAAGAAAAGGACAACACAATATTTTTGAAATGACAAAAAATCCAGAACATGTTTGCACTAAATCTGCAGCAGTGTGAACAGAGCCTCCTCACAAACAAAGTGGGTACAACAATAACATGAAAACACACACATGTAAACCTTTGTTTCAAAGCCAGTCCTGCACACAGTGGGGTGTTTCTCAATGTCGAGGACGCTTGCTTGGTAGCACGTCTTCCGAGCGTCTTGCTTCAGAAGCGAGGCAAGAACACTTCCTGGCATTCAGAAAACGAAGAGTGGAACAGGCGAGCAGGTGTGCGTCATATGAGAGGCCCCGCCTTACAATTTCCACCACAAATTTGGGGTTAATTGGTCCGTGCGCAAAGCATTGTGGGGATTTTAAAACCGCGGCGTCTACACATGTGCAGCCTCGAAATGTCTCCAAACGAAGTACGCCGGGCTCGGTCGAATTCCAAGTATGCTGGACATTGGAACAGTCCTTCGGCGGCACTCGATGACGTAGCATGCTTGAAGTAGTGGCTCTGCAGCAGCTTTACTCGCGATTGAGAAACACCCCCTGTCTGCTCTGCATGATACAGAAATGTAAGTGTTAAAAGACTTTTGAGTAGCACCTTGTGTTGGGAATAAGCCTCTGCACATTGAAGAGATTTCATCACAGAGTGCGCGCATGACAAGGAGATACAGACTGCTAAATCGAAAAATAACATTCATATTTTAAATGGCTGACACCAGGACAAACTGCATGTTCCCCCAATAATACAACTGCAAACCAGATCAGTGTGACTCAGAAATAACCTGTGAATACGCCCAGTCTGCACCGACAGACACATACTGTAGTAAAGCACAGGTTTACATGATTTTGTGGGGATTTTTAACAAGTTCTAACACAATAAGCTCACAAGCTGAGGCTCATTGCTTTTGGTTTAACCCAGGTAAAGAAACAATCAGATTAGATGTTTCTGCGTTGTTCCCAGGAGATAAAAAAAAAGGGAGAAATCGCAATAATTAAAGTAATGAGAGTTTATGCGCTGCAAATGATATTTTTATAATCAGATTTTCACAAAGATTTAGTTGCATTTTAACCTTTTCTCAACCAATACTTTCCATGATTTTATGTAGTGAAATAGAAACCAAAAATAATGAACACTCTTCATATGGTACTGGATTTAGGGCCTTGGTAAATCAAAGGTTAATTTATAAGGATAAGTTCAGAGATCACAGACTGTTGGAGGAGGTTGAGCTGGTAGAGTTTACAGAAGTGTAGACTTTATAATTCACACGTCAAAGGTCCTTATGAGGCAGGGTTCCTATACATGTCTTAATATTGAAATGTTCCATTATAACAGACTTACAATTGTAGATCAGATAACCAACTTTGTTCACGATACTAAACTATCGTAATACTGGGAAAGATAGGAGGATTTCAGCCAAAGCGTGAATCAGACATTCCCAACTTGTTATTAGAAATTAATAGATTTTTACAGACGTTTTGGAGCCGAACAATGCATAGGAACCCTGCATGAACACAGACAACACGGCTTGTAGTGAAACAATGCAAAGGTAATAAATGTTGTGTAGTTGCAGACAGTGAGGTAATACTACTTGAGGTCCGGCGTTCAGGGATCCAGTTGTGTTAAAGACAGTTTATCAGTTATTGAGTAAAGACATTTTTGTAGTTTGACAGAACATTTGTTACGCTCCTGAGGAACAGTCCTCCTCAGGATTAGAAACACATCAATAAGCACCAAATGACCCAACGGGAGTCATTGTAATTCAAATTTCAATATCAAAATGCTCAAAAAACCTCCCTGTGTGAAACCTGAAAATCACGAGTTCTTGAAAACACTCGGAAATGTCTGTGTTGAGAAGTCAACAATATTGAACACTGGCTATCCTGCAGAAACAAAATCCAAGTTCTGTACTGAATCTGTGACGAACAAAACAATATCCACTTCACTTTCAGAAATGTTCTGAAACTTTGCACATCTGAAGCTCCGACATTGAGAAGAAACTGAAAGATAAACTCCTTAAACTCGTGTGACGTCAGTGATCTACTCATGTTCATCAAACCGGACCGTCTGTGAGACTTCAGACCACCGCGATGTGCCCTCAACTTCTAAACCTTTATAGAGGTGTGCAGGAATGAGTCCTAAAACCCAGAAATGAGTTAGCATAGTAGCTTCCGGTCACCTTCAAACTCGACTGTTTTTCTGGATGTGTTTGTTAGAAATCAGAAATAAGGTCTGTGGGAAACACAAGTTGAGACTTTTACGTTTTGTTCCACGACATAAAATACCCCACTGGTGAATTTATAAACAGCGTGTGTCTAAATGAGACAAATAAACGTTGTCAGGCCGAACATTAGCTGCCTTTAGCTTAGCGGTGGCTACGTGAAATCGACGTTAGCCTTCTACTTCAACATTTATTAAGTGGACATTATCCTGCTGAACAAAACATGTAAGCATCATAAACGTGTGTTGCCACAGAGATTATTTCCTCCGAAACCCAATGGAAATATCACATTTGTTGTCGAGGGAACCAGGAAGATGCTAACCTGGGTCAGAGATAATTAATCCCTGCACCAATCTATTCACTTCCTGTGGGCGGGAAAATGTCCATATTTGACATCAAAATTTAAATTGGGGATAAGATGCTCTACTCTGTTTCAAGACAAGTGAGACTGGTATGCAAATTACAAGTCAAAATGAAATGGAGATTTGAGAGAGTTTGGGAAAATGAGGCAGAATGAAATGTTTTTAAAGAGGGCAAACAACATCTGCTGCTAGCTCCTCAAACAAAAGCTGTAAACATGTGGGTGTGTCACTGTAAGACTGCAGAAACAGATATTAAACACTGCTTTTTGAAACGTGTTCAGCCTGAATATTGCATGTTTTATGTCCTGCGGGCATTTCTGAGCAAAAGTGTGTTCTGTAGTGATATTGTTAAGACTGTGTTGGTCGATAATGACGTTGAAACAACCAAAAAAAAGACGTGGATGGCCGGCGAGATGAGGGGAAGCTTTCTTCCTAAAGTCCTTGTAATGCTATGAGATCAATGTAACATACACACATGGCAGAGGATCTGATATATTTGTGTTGTCTTTCTCAGACAACATAGAGAAGCTTCTATATACTTTGATACTGATAGTGAGTCTGTCTTTAAAAATCCTAATTTATCGCCCCCGACATATAGATAGTACGGTGGCCGACAGGTGCAATCACGCTACAACAACATTTCCATAGGACAAACGCTTAGTAGTTTCAAAATCAATGCAGGTATAAAAACACAAATGTTAATGAAGAAACATCCACACCAGCATTTACCTAAAACGTTGCAAGAAGCTCAAAACACAACGGAAACTAGGGGACACTAAAAAGTGTCGCACACGGCTAGGAACGTAGCACAAGGTGACGTTTGGGGATTATAAAGCTGGACGACTGTTGGCAGAGTTTCATAACTGTCAGGGTTTTATCATTATTATTTAAATTAGTAGGTTAGCTATGTTAGCTTACAGAAGATATCATGTGATCACATTGTTAAAATAAGCCATTAAAACTTTTATTTTAAGGTTAGTTTCTAGTGTTATAATCCCCTGGTTTCCGTTGTGTTTTGAGCTTTTAGTAAACGCTGCCCATGTGTTTCTTCATTTACATGAGTTTTGGCCCATTTGTGTTTTTATATTTGCATCGTTTTTCAAAGTAAAGCGCGTTTCTACTAATGGAAAAGTGTTGGAGCGCGTTAGCACGTGTTAGCACGCGTTAGCACGTGTTAGCCACCGTAAGATAGCACTTCTGGGATCCACTCTCTTTTCTTCTAACAGTCTAAAGTCTCTCTTACTCTCTTCAGTCTCTCTCTTTCTCTGTAATGACATTTTATGTACAATATTGGTATATAGAACATAAATTACTACACAATTTTTTTAAGCCTATTCACAATTGACAATCATCAAGAACCCAATAGCAAAATTAGACAAAGCCGACGAACTGAGAAAAATAAAAAATAAAAAATCAGAGACAATTTACGTGAAACAGCCCGGTATATAACTTTCTCCATAAACTTTCTGTGCTCCCAAGACGTGTCGAGTGTATTGTTGAAGAAAGAAACACCTTTTTATATAAAAAAAGACCCGTCCTCCTCCCGTCTCAGTCTCAGGAGGATGAAATCGGCATGAAGCTCAAAAAAGACGGTGATTCCCGACATCGTGTTTGCGTGTAAACAGAGCACCAGTAGTGTCTTGGTTCCATGTGTCTCTTCTGTACAAAAGTATAAATATATGCTTTACTCTCCATTTTTTCGTTTTGTTCACATATCTAGGATGTAGCGGACAAAAAACAGGTTGTTTTAGTTCCTAAAAAACACACCAGTGTTGCAGTATCTGTGCTGGAGGTTGCCAGTTTGTTTTGTTGTCGCTCCCCCCCCCTCGCCCTTTAAATCCCGATCAGCTGGCTCGTGTTGACTTTTACCGTCGGGTGTTTGCTTGGTGTTGGATGATCGTCTTTGCATAAATTAAAAAGGATTTCGGCACAGTCCGCGGCCACCAGGATAAAAAAGAAAAACAACCGTTGTGTCCGTGTTGGCTACAGCAGATCCATCTTGGGTCTGTAATGGAGCAGGAGGGGGGATTTCTGCGTGGGGGGGGAGAGAGACACAGACTGTTAGAAAAATCTCACTGGTCCCCGGCTTGAGCTTCAACCTCAGGATCCATGTGTCTGTGATCCTCTCCAGAATGGAGTCATCACATACAGAGCATCAACTAGTTCCTGAGCAGTGTCCTTCACATGCTGATATCCAAGAGAGGGAGTTACACAGTCACAAGATGGAGGAATAGAAAGCAGTATTCAATGTTTACTTCAGATTAGCTCCACGTCAGAAATGAGCATGCTTGATGTCTCTCTCCATAGAGTCTGAATCATCATGTTAATCACATAGCTATCATATGCCTCAAACAGTCCTGATGCTCTTCTAGGTCATCACACATCCTGTCATGTTCACAGCTACAGTTGGGATACCTTTGTTATCATGTTACTCTCATATTGGAAGAGGACATTCAGTATTTTCCCAACACAAACACAACCTCAGTGAGAGCTGTTTTGGATAAAACACATCAGATTATTCTCTGAGCCCCCCAACAAACAGCAGTTAGCTTTATCATCCAAAGCACGATACGCCTGTCAGGATTTGTGGTGCTGATCAATTTTCAAGCAGTGTGGATGGGGAGTGACTTTTTTAAACCCTTACACAATAGAAGTATGTGGGATACATTGTAGATGTAGATTTAACAGAGTGAGATATGGAGCAACAAAGATTAATGAAATAATCGGCATCTATTTTGCTGATAAAATGCAGTTTTCTGCTTTTCAAATGTGGAAAATAACTTGTTTTTTATCATGAAACCCTAACCACTGCAACAACGGGCAGTTAACTTGATCTACCGCATCAACTGACATGATGAGAAATTAGATCAACTATTTTGTTGTTGTTAAATGAAACATTTCTGAAAATAAATTGTTGTTTATTCAGTTTCACCTTGGATTTTAGGCTAGAAATTAAAAAATTCTGACTTTCTCAAACATCTCAAAATTAGGACGTTTTCTTAAAAAAAAAATCGGACTTTTTCTGAATACTTACATTTTTTAACAATCACTCGGCTTGAGCTTCAACTATTTTGTTATTGATAAGTTGTTCAATTAAACATTTCTGAAAATTGAAAAGAAATTGTTGTTTATCCTGTTTTTGTTATCATTTTTAACTGAACATCTTTTGTTTACCTGAAACAAAACACTAAAAGACATCACCTTGGATTTTAGGCTAGAAATAAAAAAAACTTTTTCTCAAACATCTAAAAAAATCAGACTTTTTCTCACAAATCTCAAAATTAGGACGTTTTCTTAAAAAAAAAAATCTGAATACTTACATTTTTTAACAATCACTCGTCACCGGCTTGAGCTTCAACTATTTTGTTATTGATAAATTGTTCAATTAAACATTTGTGAACATTTCTGAAAATTGAAAATAAATGTTTGCTTATCCTGTTTTTGTTATAATTTCTAACTGAACATCTTTTGTTTACCTGAAACAACATCACCTTGGATTCTAGGCTAGAAATACAAAATATCACATGATACAAAATGATCTCAATTTCTGGGATATTCTTTTCAAGATTTGGGAGAAATACTGATTTCAAAGTTTGAGAAAGCAGGCCACATTTGAATTTGTCATGCCTCTTGAAGAAAATCATATAAGGCAACAAAGTAGAAATGCCTTTAAATCAAAATACAAATGACTCACAGAGGCAATATATAAACCATTCGCCACATGTGTTCCTGAAGCATGACTTACCTTAAATCTCCATCTTGTCACAACAACAAATTTCAAAGTGTGGTCCTTTCCCAAAATTTCCTCGTTGCATAAAATGTCCAGCTGTGAAAAGACGACAAGGAGATTATTAAACCATTTCTGAGTTCAAACTGAGGTGTGCCACACGACAAAACTATGAGTAACTCTGGTTTGAGGCCTCTGTAGTAAAACTTCCACACTCCTTATTTTTTCAGACATAGTTTTAACATTTCCCTTTTTTTTTTGCACACAAAGCACATTTTAGATCTGGATCGGTCGCGGGCTCCTGAGCAGCAGTGAGGCTTTTTGGGAGAACAGAGAAGTTCAATAGTGAACACGAGGCTGCTGCTGCTCCTGTGAGGAAACATTGATATTCTGCCGTCAATACTGAGAGAGAGGAGGAGAAAACACTACCACAGCGCCTCCTGTTGGATCATGAAGGAACAGCAGCTGGTTTTTATCAGCTCAAACACAGAGAGCGTGGAAACGGTCCAGGTCTGCGATCAGGAAAGACTGAAAATAATCCAGAGGACGAGCTGAGATTTCATCTTCAAAGTCAACAAAGGCTGTTTTTGTGTCAAAATAAAATGACTTTTGAGGGAACACATCCAGGGATCCTCTTATGGCGCATTTCCACTGCAGGGCCTCGCACGGTATAGTTAGGCCTTGGTAGGCCAGGCTCACTTTATGCTGCGTTTCCATTACAGTTTAGTAGCTGGGGCAGTAACTATAGTAACGCAGTGTAGGCGGAGCCATGACGTCATCTTCAATGCGAAACACAAAACCAACATCAGCCGTTAGCTGTTAGCACTCAGAGCTCACAGCTCCTCATATCTGTTCAGAAACTAGACAAAAGTTAAACAAGTACAAACCACAGACTGCCTGTGTCATGGAGAATACAGTCGCTGCTTTATTTATGTCTGTAGGCCGTTGTTGTGAGTGTGGACGGTCGGAGCATATACTGCGTTAGTTTAACCGATCTCCATTCAGAAAACAAGCATTTTAAAAGGTTTTTTGCCTGCCGTCTGTCTGCAGACTTGTCAAAGCATTAATTCATGGTTTTTACTAACCGGTATCAGTATGTTGTTACTTCGGCATCATTTTGAAACGTGTATTCCAATTAAATCACGGTCAAATATGTTCATCTTGTTGTAGTTGCCAGCGATTCTCTCTCTAGTTTAGCATACTCAGCCCGACTCAGCCCGGTTGTTGACCCCGGAAAGAACCTCGATTTTGGAGAGCCAGAAAACTGTGAAAAAGTACCCGCTAGCCGGAACTACGCTTAGTGGAAACGTGCCCGGCACGCTTAAACGTGATTAATTATCAATTAATTTGCCTTGTTTCATGATTGACGACTTGAAAATAGAGAATATATTTGGTATGATTTGAAACGTATAAGAATAAAACGCTCTCTCGCTTCCTAGTTCCTTTCTGAGTTCCTTGTTTTCCTTTTTTAATGTATGCTCTTCCTACATCAGTGCAAATAAACCTACAGAAGAAAAGGAATGGCACTTTTTAAACAGAAACGCAGTTATTTTAGCATCTGAAATGAGAATATTTGCTAGTTTTTCTGTGTTCACGTGTTACTGTTGGTTAGTTGAATGTCCCGCCCCGTAGCCTATCACGAAGAATGTGTTGGAGCACTAGCCAATAGTAGTTTGAGTGTTACATAGTGATGACACAGGGATTTGAGCCTTTGCAGTCATTTACATGCACTTAAAAAAAGGCCTAAAAACGCATCTTTTTAGAATAGCCTTTTGCTAGATCTTTAAAACCCCCACTTGTTGCCATGCCGGCCTAAACGTGACTGTTTTTATTCTGCCGTTTACTTTATTATATATATTTATTTTTTGCTGTCGTTTGGTTTTAACCATTTTACTCTGTAGCACTTTGAGTTTTGTTTACTCAAATGGAAAGTGCGCTTATAAACACCATTTATTATTACTGAAACCTATAGAACACACTTCAGGAAAGGGAAACCCCAGAAAAGCAGAGTAGGGTCTGTTTGGGGGTTCCTCCTCTTTTATATAATCATTATTTAACTTCCTGCAGACGTTTAGCTGCGTGACAGGAGGACAGCGATGGCCTCTCAAACACGAGGAATGAATAAATATCTCTGTGTTTTCTGACAAAGCACGACGCTGTAAAGCTCGACTCCCCGCTGAAAACAACAACAGCTTTTTATGGAGAATAGACGGGACAACAATAGCTGGGGGGGGGCGATATGATGGAGGCTTCCCACTCATCTCTGTGACAGCCAGGAGAAAACAGCCAGGAAATTAAAAAAATAGACGACACGGAGGCGTTTAGGATAATTATTCACGGCATCTAAAAATCTATCTGTCAAATGATCGCCCACTCGTCCCCCTGCTGCCATGGAAGAGGCGGTTAGAGACAATAAATAGAGGAATTACCACATTTAGATATCATAAGAGCTCATTTCCTGCTGGATATCACAAACAACACAAAAGGCCGTGAGTGAGTCAGCGCAGAAAAATATAATTAACTGACCTTTGTGTGATTTACTTCTGATTAACTCAACGCCCAGCTGGTGAGCCCAAACAAGTTTAAACAAAGTAGTAAAAATAATTTGTTCGTTAAAGGACTTTTGTCAGAACACATGTTATTTTTTAGGAACAAGAATGAAAGATTCCTGTACAAATGTTTCCACAAACTAAATAAAAATAATACAACTAAAACAAATGTAGTTTACTCTCACCCCAAACTTACATCTTAGATACAAAATTAATGACAATTGGAGATAATTCTCTGATATCGAAGCACTTTTGTCTGATATCTACTTTTGCTTTTGGAAAGAAGTCTGACAATAACTAAAAAAGACAGAGAAAAACTTTTATATACTAATGTTTCTTTTATGCCCCGTTACCGTTTCATTTCTTTAAAACTTGAATATATTTTCTTTGCATTGTGACCCATTTAAGGATTTACCTTAAAGGTCCCATGTCATGGCCATTTCCACTGATCATAATTCCATTGTTGAGGTCTACTAGAATAGATTTATACTGTGCAATTTTTCAAACTCACATTGTTTCTCATACAGCATCTCTGTAAACTACGTGTATTCACTCTCTCCACTAAACGGCTCGTTGCAGCTCTTGCCCCCCCCCTCCCTGTGAGCCCAGTGTGCTCCGATTGGTCGGGACCAGTCGGGACGTTGTGAATCGCGCTGAGCTCCGTGGAGGTGTGGTTTCCTTGTTTAGCGATACACAGCGAAACACAGCCAAACTCACCCTGAGCACACACAAAGTCACAGCCGAAGTAAAAACAATAAGTGTGGATTGATATTGAGTAAGAAAAGGGTTGATAAACGCTGTGAGAACGGGTCTGCAGAGAGAATGGGTCTGCAGAGAGAACGGGTCTGCAGAGAGAATGGGTCTGCAGAGAGAATGGGTCTGCAGAGAGAACGGGTCTGCAGAGAGAATGGGTCTGCAGAGAGAACGGGTCTGCAGAGAGAATGGGTCTGCAGGGAGAATGGGTCTGTAGAGAGAATGGGTCTGTAGAGAGAACGGGTCTGCAGAGAGAATGGGTCTGTAGAGAGAATGGGTCTGTAGAGAGAATGGGTCTGTAGAGAGAACGGGTCTGCAGAGAGAATGGGTCTGTAGAGAGAATGGGTCTGTAGAGAGAATGGGTCTGTAGAGAGAACGGGTCTGCAGAGAGAATGGGTCTGCAGAGAGAACGGGTCTGCAGAGAGAACGGGTCTGCAGAGAGAACGGGTCTGCAGAGAGAACTGGTCTGCAGAGAGAACTGGTCTGCAGAGAGAATGGGTCTGCAGAGAGAACTGGTCTGCAGAGAGAACTGGTCTGTAGAGAGAACGGGTCTGCAGAGAGAACGGGTCTGCAGAGAGAACGGGTCTGCAGAGAGAACGGGTCTGCAGAGAGAATGGGTCTGCAGAGAGAACTGGTCTGCAGAGAGAACGGGTCTGCAGAGAGAACTGGTCTGCAGAGAGAACGGGTCTGCAGAGAGAACGGGTCTGCAGAGAGAACTGGTCTGTAGAGAGAACGGGTCTGCAGAGAGAACGGGTCTGCAGAGAGAACTGGTCTGTAGAGAGAACGGGTCTGTAGAGAGAACGGGTCTGCAGAGAGAACGGGTCTGCAGAGAGAATGGGTCTGCAGAGAGAATGGGTCTGCAGAGAGAATGGGTCTGCAGAGAGAACGGGTCTGCAGAGAGAACTGGTCTGCAGAGAGAACGGGTCTGCAGAGAGAACGGGTCTGCAGAGAGAACTGGTCTGCAGAGAGAACGGGTCTGCAGAGAGAACTGGTCTGTAGAGAGAATGGGTCTGCAGAGAGAACGGGTCTGCAGAGAGAATGGGTCTGCAGAGAGAACGGGTCTGCAGAGAGAACTGGTCTGCAGAGAGAACGGGTCTGCAGAGAGAATGGGTCTGCAGAGAGAACGGGTCTGCAGAGAGAACTGGTCTGCAGAGAGAACGGGTCTGCAGAGAGAACTGGTCTGTAGAGAGAATGGGTCTGCAGAGAGAACGGGTCTGCAGAGAGAATGGGTCTGCAGAGAGAATGGGTCTGCAGAGAGAACGGGTCTGCAGAGAGAACGGGTCTGCAGAGAGAACGGGTCTGCAGAGAGAACGGGTCTGCAGAGAGAACGGGTCTGCAGTGAGAATGGGTCTGCAGAGAGAATGGGTCTGCAGAGAGAATGGGTCTGCAGAGAGAATGGGTCTGCAGAGAGAATGGGTCTGCAGAGAGAATGGGTCTGCAGAGAGAATGGGTCTGCAGAGAGAACGGGTCTGCAGAGAGAATGGGTCCTGCAGAGAGAATGGGTCTGCAGAGAGAACGGGTCTGCAGAGAGAATGGGTCTGCAGAGAGAACGGGTCTGCAGAGAGAATGGGTCTGCAGAGAGAACGGGTCTGCAGAGAGAATGGGTCTGCAGAGAGAATGGGTCTGCAGAGAGAACGGGTCTGCAGAGAGAATGGGTCTGCAGAGAGAACGGGTCTGCAGAGAGAATGGGTCTGCAGAGAGAACGGGTCTGCAGAGAGAATGGGTCTGCAGAGAGAATGGGTCTGCAGAGAGAACGGGTCTGCAGTGAGAATGGGTCTGCAGAGAGAATGGGTCTGCAGAGAGAATGGGTCTGCAGAGAGAATGGGTCTGCAGAGAGAATGGGTCTGCAGAGAGAATGGGTCTGCAGAGAGAACGGGTCTGCAGAGAGAACGGGTCTGCAGAGAGAATGGGTCTGCAGAGAGAATGGGTCTGCAGAGAGAATGGGTCTGCAGTGAGAATGGGTCTGTAGTGAGAATGGGTCTGTAGAGAGAATGGGTCTGCAGAGAGAATGGGTCTGCAGAGAGAATGGGTCTGCAGAGAGAATGGGTCTGCAGAGAGAATGGGTCTGCAGAGAGAATGGGTCTGCAGAGAGAATGGGTCTGCAGAGAGAATGGGTCTGCAGAGAGAATGGGTCTGCAGAGAGAATGGGTCTGCAGAGAGAATGGGTCTGCAGAGAGAATGGGTCTGCAGAGAGAATGGGTCTGCAGAGAGAATGGGTCTGCAGAGAGAATGGGTCTGCAGAGAGAATGGGTCTGCAGAGAGAATGGGTCTGCAGAGAGAATGGGTCTGCAGAGAGAATGGGTCTGCAGAGAGAATGGGTCTGCAGAGAGAATGGGTCTGCAGAGAAGGGTCCAGAGAGAACGGGTCTGCAGAGAGAATGGGTCTGCAGAGAGAATGGGTCTGTAGAGAGAATGGGTCTGCAGAGAGAATGGGTCTGCAGAGAGAATGGGTCTGCAGTGAGAATGGGTCTGCAGAGAGAATGGGTCTGCAGTGAGAATGGGTCTGCAGAGAGAATGGGTCTGCAGAGAGAATGGGTCTGCAGAGAGAATGGGTCTGCAGAGAGAATGGGTCTGCAGAGAGAATGGGTCTGCAGAGAGAATGGGTCTGCAGTGAGAATGGGTCTGCAGAGAGAATGGGTCTGCAGAGAGAATGGGTCTGCAGAGAGAATGGGTCTGCAGTGAGAATGGGTCTGCAGAGAGAATGGGTCTGCAGAGAGAATGGGTCTGCAGTGAGAATGGGTCTGCAGAGAGAATGGGTCTGCAGTGAGAATGGGTCTGCAGAGAGAATGGGTCTGCAGAGAGAATTTCGCCGCGATCCCAACTGTCTGTTATCAGCCTGCAGCCAGGGAGGAGAATCAGCAGAGCTGCTTGCACTGAGTGTGTGAGGAAGTCGTGGATTGGTCAATTTGGACCAATCAGCGGGGGCTTAACGTAACGGCTCCACGGATTGGTCCATTTCGTTCCGGGGACGACATGACATCATGATGTCCCCGGAAGAATCAAATGGACAGTGACGTATCTCCAACGAGGCGTTTTGGGGAGGTATTTTCTGTGTTAGAGTTTTACTCCCTACAGGGTGTACTTTGAGGGTTTTGACTCTGCACACCGTTTACATGCAGAAAAACCTTCATAACAACAAGGGGACGGGTAATAACCGGAAAAGCATGACATGTCTCCTTTAAAGTCAAAGCAAAGGAAAATGTAACTGGTGCCAGGTATTAGTTTAAAGGTCATTAACGGCACAGAACCGTAAATTATCAGGAACAAACAAACATTTTCTCCCGTATTTATCCTGTGATTTTTGTTGTCACTAAAGCCATGATAAGAAACAGATTCCTGTTGTTATATTGTGTTGTTTTGTGTACCTCATTAAACGATGTCAGGTTGAGCTTTTTGGCAATGAACTTCTTGAGGTGCAGGACGGTCGCCTGTGCCGAGCAGCGGATCCACTTCCTCTTCAGACCTCGCAGCTTGCTACTGTTGCACTCCAAGCAGATGCTGACCTGAGAGGAAACAAGCAGAGAGAGTACGATGAGCAAAAACCCTGACACTAAACACAGCAGGAGAACCGGTAACAGGCATTTTTGTGTTGGTTTATCAATACCTACAGTATATATCAATACTGTAGGTATCGCCGAGTAGCAGTTTTCTCTATGGCAGCAGTTCCCAACCTTTTTCAACTCAGGGCCCACTTAAGAATCAAAAAATGATTCGTGGCCCACAAACAATACAGAGGCTAAATAAAGTTCCGATTGGTCGATTCAGAACATGTGACACGTTGTTAATCCAGTAGAACAGACCGCTGTCGAGGACTGTAATGACCGTTGCTAAGGAGGATCAAGAAAGAGAAAGGAAAAGAGGTTCAAATAAAATAAATCGTAATAATTCAATGTTTCCACACAAATCATAATGTTTTGCAAAATGTGGCGGCCCACGTGCAATGCCTTCGTGGACCACTAGGGGGTCCACAGGTTGGGAACCACTGTTAGATTTAGATTTTTAAATTAAGATTCTAAAACCTCAAAAGATGTTTTACGAAATAAAATAACCTCAAACAAAATCTAAAAATACTTAAAATGTAATTGATCTGATTAAATTAGTTGGTCTTTTTATTATAAAATCTACTTTTATTCATAAATAATAATAACTGGTCGGTCCTTGAATCCCATTGTGTGCAGCAATCAGAAGAACAGACCAATTATTTAGATTCTACCCGGATTAATGCCAAAAATCTGACCAAATGTTTTGATAAAGACATGTTGTGAATTTGGGATAATAACACATCTATAATGTATTGAAAAAATAACTTTTTGACTTTTAAAGCTATGGATGTATTGGGGTAATTGGAAACAGCCGTACACAGAGACCACTGGGAACTAGTTCAACAAAAGAATAAATGAATAGTTGTAGTGGAACTAAGCTTCATCCACATTACATTAATGTGGATGAGCACAGGAGCAATTTGGGGTGAAGTGTCTCAGGGACACAACGACATGCAGTGGGGTTTGAACCTGTGACCCCCTGACCCCAACGCACTGCACCACATGCCTCCCTGTACACTTGTCCACTGTGAAGACTTATTCCCTCTGATCTCCCATTAAAGCAGACTGAATGTTTATTAAGACTTCTAACAGCTGGTTAATTCCTCCTGTTGTTCCGCAGGTCCCTCTGAAGCAGAATTGTCTCTTTGTGTTTTGCTTTCATGCAATGTGTTTTCCTCGGGGGGGGGGGGGGGGGGTTTGGCAGAGGATGGTTTGCAGGAGTCAGAAAGCATTACTGCCTCTGAGCTTCTGCCCACACACACCAGGAGACGGAGGACACACACCTTGTGTTTCGTTATTCTGTCACGCTCTCTATGGAGACGCCTGCTCTCTGTATCCAACTCTCCATTTCTGGGATTTATTTTTTTAAGATTTGAGAGAAAACTTGAATTATAAATGATGATTTCCAAGTTTGAGACAGTAAGGCCTCACTTGAACTTGTCATGCCTCTTGTGGAAAAATCATATAAGGCAAATCCACAAAGCTAAGATGCCTTATTCTGTCTGTAGCTAACATCACCTGCTCTCTGCTCACATCTCAAATAAACACCGCGCTCTATAAGCAAAGAGCAACACGTACACGTACACACACACACACACACACACACACACACACACACACACACACACACACACACACACACACACACACACACACACACACACACACACACACCACACACACACACACACACACACACACACACACACACACACACACACACACACACACACACACACACACACACACACACACACACACACACACACACACACACACACACCACACACACACACACACACACACACACCACACACACACACCACACACACACACACACACACACACACACACACACACGATGCAATATGGAGGCATATCAAGGAAACATCACATGTGCTTCTGTGGTATCACACAGAGAAAGAGAAGCACTTCTTCATGGGCTCATTACAGAGGCATGAACGCTGGGAGAGGTGTGAGGCAATATGTCCACTAAAGTGTGGACATGCAAGGTGTGTGTGTGTGTGTGTGTGTGTGTGTGTGTGTGTGTGTGTGTGTGTGTGTGTGTGTGTGTGTGTGTGTGTGTGTGTGTGTGTGTGTAGAAAGCCAGAGTAGAGTGCTGAAAACAGCTTTGAGAATTCAAGGAATGATAAATAATTTAGAGGTAAATAATAATTAATTAATTAATAAATAAATAATTAATAAATAAATAAATAAATAATAATTTAGAGGTATGTCAAATGTCTCCAAAGTCTTTAAGCCCAAAATATCTGGAGTTAATTCATTTTCACACCTTAGAGTTGTTTAGAGATTGATAAGTGCCAGCGAGTGACCCTGATGTGATGAGTGATGGGACAGTATTGCTTTTTTACGTGATAGAGAACAATCACAGGTAGATGACTTTACTGATTTTCCATTATAAGTCCTAACTAAATCTCCATCTGGATGTAACGTTGGGATTTTAGGCTTTGCAGACCATTTACATGCACACAACACTACAGGAAAGGGAAACCCCTTAAAAGCACAAAATGGCCTCTTTAAGAATATTTTGATTATCGGTATCCTATTTATCGATTCCTTTATTCAATTACCCAGGATAATAAGGACATGACATTATTATATCGTCCTATGCCCAATATGTACCTCTGAAACCGTTTACTTCAGTCTTCATGGTAGTTTTCTCTGATAAATTCTGACTCTACTGGATTTCTTTCTTTCGTTGTTTTGCTGGCGCTTCATTGCTTTCCTCCGTGTTTTTCTCTGGCACTGCTTCACGCCCCAAGGTTAAACTCTGAAAGGTCGTCCAGGAGTCAGCGGGGGACGATCTGGAGGTCGGCCACGCGTGCCGGGAGCCTTCAGTGAAGTCATGATGTTCAGCAGGGGGGGATTCTGGGACTATTTTCTCTCATCTTCATTTGATTGATGATTCTTTTGGACCATCTCCAGTTGTTTTCTCATCTGTATCTATTTGTATTGCTATATCATCCGACACTACTTCTTACTGGAGCATTTGCTTAAGTTCAAAAGACACGATTCTTCCTAAAAAATATTATTATTATGTATTTATTTAAGGACCATGCAAACAAATACATTCATCTCAGAAAAGAGGACGGATGAATTATGCCAGATTCAAACTGATAACTAATTTCCAAGGTAAACAAATCCTTTGTTCGGACGATAACTAGAGGCATTAGTTTGGAGATTAAAATGTACAATGTGGGGAATATGCAGCTGCAAACTTTAGAGGTAATATAAAGATATTCCTCCCCTGGCTCCTAAGTGAGGGTTTAACAATTAGGTCCTCTAAACTGATCTGTAAACCCTTATTTTCTTAGACAGAACTTAACATTTACAACCAAATGTAAGGAAAACAGTGTTTGATAATCCCTCTCCCTCTCATCTAGAAGTACAACACTCTTCCCTGATGGCATTGCATTTCATTATTTAGCCATCACCTCTCATTCAACCCTAAAATGTTGTTACAACCCTGTGTAAAAGAGTGTCACTGAAATGCATAAGAAAGAGTGTTTTTATATACAGTGCTTTCGTCCGTTGAAACACAGACGATTGACGGTTTGGTTTCTAATTCGATCGCAAGAATCCTTACTCAACGAGGCCCTAGTCTGCTCTTTGGGGTGTTGTCCATACTTGCCAACCCTCCCGATTTTCGCGGGAGACTCATAGCCCTCTCCCGGTTTCCTCCCGGGGTCATATTTGTCCCGCATTTCTGACAAAATCAGATTTACACACGACTGTTATTACAGCTACACCATTGTTTGGTTTCCATGGTAGCGCGTGTCTTTAGCAGCGTGCGCAACTAGACAGTCACAGAAAAACAGAACAATAATCGACAACTCGACCCTCTGCCCACTCCTTTCCTGTCCAGCCCACACGCTCCATCAAGAGGATGGTGCTACAGGCCGCAAGGCATTGCACTCAGAACTACAATAAGCATGTTAATGTTAATCTAACAGCTCCGGCGATCCCCCCCCCCCCCCCCCACGCGGTGGTTTTGAAATGCTCCCGATTTCTGAGGTCTCAAGGTTGGCAAGGATGGTGTTGTCTTTCCTGTAGCGTGTTATCTAGGTTTCTGTGTATGTAAGTGGTCTGCAAAAGCGAAAAAATATAATTACAAAACCTGAAATGTAAGAATATCAATACCTCCATCGTACTGCGTCGTGTTGCAGCTGTGTCCTTTCCCTTCATCCTCCTATCATTTAACCATTTCATATTCATTCCTGTAGCTTTTGAATCCCTGAACGGTGACTTCCTCTCTCTCTCTCTCTCTTTCAATCCTGCACATCTCTCCTTTCCATCAGTCATCTTGTATTCCCCCTCCCCCTCCTCCTCCTCTCAGTGACATTTGACACGTCTGCATTCAGCTCACACAGTCTGCAGCTTTAGTTATTCTGAACGCATTCTGCACCGCTGCTGAACATCCAAAAGGTCGAGAACTCTCCCCTCCTTTGGGGCGCTCTGCTTCCCCCTCATGACCTGAAGAGCTGCTGGAGCTGAGACTTGTTTTTTAATATCTGCATGTTGGGTTTCTGTCCTCAAAAAGACAGTGTCCAGCAGGCTGAAGACTTTCCTCTTTAGTACAGCGTACAGTTAGGACTGGTTTGAAACGACCTTTTAAACATCCTCATGGAATGTTGGTAACACTTTATATTAAGGTACACAAATCACCATCAACTAGTTGTTAATTAACAAGCATATTAGCAGAATATTGGCTCCTTATTAGTCATTATAAAACACTTATTAATACCGTATTCTACATGACGATATTCTACAAGTAATAGGCCGTTAGTTGAGTTTGTAAGGAAGTTGTTGTACATGAGTTTTGGTCTTAATATGCTCTGCTCAATATGGGCCTAATCTGAGTTATTTAGACTTAATTAACACTTGTCTCGTTACATAAGATTAGATCATATTTGTTAAGTGTTATTATGGGTGAATTACTATTCTTGTGGTACTACTGCCTTATTAGGCCCTTATTGAGCAGAGCATATTAAGACCAAAACTGGACAACAACGTCCTTACTTGCAATAAATAAGCACTAATTCGAGGGTTATTGAGGAAAAACTCTCAACTAATGGCTTAAAGTTATTACTTGTAGAATATGGTCATGCAGAATAAGGCATTAATAAGTATTACATGTTACTTGTTAGACGCTTTTATCCAAAGAGACTTCCATACTCAACACTGTGAGCAATCCCCACAGGAGCAATTTGGGGTGAAGTGTCTCAGGGACACAACGACATGCTGACTGCAGAGGGGTTTGAACCTGTTACGAACACCAACGCACTAATACACTGCGCCACACGCCTAAAAAAGGATTTCATAATGACTAATAAAGAGCCAATATTCTGCTAATATGCATGTTAATTAACAACTAGTTGATGGTTAATTTGTGTTATCGTAATTGTAATTATTGTATTCTAACTGTATTTGTGTCATCGTGTTGTGGACCCATTCGTTGGTATTTTCACATTTATCTTGTCATTTTACTATATTCTTTATAGATATGTTTGTCGTCTTTACATTATCATTCATGTGTGACAAATGTGTTTTGGGCTATATAAATACATTTGAATTGAATTGACAACAACGACTAAAACCAAATTCCTTCAGCCTGTAACAATGCAGCCAAAGACGTTTAGTGTTTCTGAAACACAATAACTCTCGGTGCATTATTAATATCACTTCTCAGGGTTGGAGAATGGGCTAGAATACAAATTCATTTCCATTTGAAACGCCTTCAGCTGGACGGCAGTGGTGTTCAAATCAAACAGCCGCTTCGCCAAAGACAAAAGACTGCAGTAATTGTAAAAGCGCCTGGTTCCTCGCATGGGGGCCACTTTTATAAAGACAATAATTGAGGAGCAAGCTTTTAAAGGCAATTGTTCCCACAATTATCAGCATCAATGTGTTTGTCCTGCGGAGCTTTTGTTCCTGACAGACTGCTTTGTAACCCGCAATTATAATATCCAATTTGCTTCGTCTAATCTCGGCTAAAACACAAACTCACGGCCTCCCAAGATTTTTATTATTAATTTGGTTTATTTGACGGTTGCTACACATAGCTTATAAAAAACATGTTTTCACTTCCTTCTTGGTTTACCCGACCATGTAGATGTTTTTTGGTTTATGAAGGTACATTTTTAGATATTGAAATCTGATATTTCAATTGTTTTTTTTGCTGCAAAAGGAGAACATATTTTAGATTTTTAAGAAAGTTACAATTGCAGGAGACATAGGAGCATCCTTATTAAGATCTGAACCTTTCCACAGATTATATTTTATATAACAGCGGAGCGATTTTTGAATTAAAAAGGTCAAATTTATCCGGAAACTTCTTACAATTATTCCCACTAAAGTGTTTATCTTAAAAATAAAACATGAAATGGCATTGGGTGAAAATGGCTTTCAATATAGATTGGATATATTCTAGTAAAGACACATATATTTGGTGTTATCTGTATTATTATATGTTTTATTATCTGTATAGTTTGTTGTAGGTGGAAACACTGGTGTGGAGGATTACAAAAATATATATTGAAATGTATTTAAAGGTCACCTATTATGCAAAATCCACTTCTTCATATCTCTTCTACATCAACATGTGTCCCCTCTTCTTCATGTCTCTTCTACATCAACATGTGTCCCCTCTTCTTCATGTCTCTTCTACATCAACACGTGTCCCCTCTTCTTCATGTCTCTTCTACATCAACATGTGTCCCCTCTTCTTCATGTCTCTTCTACATCAACATGTGTCCCCTCTTCTTCATGTCTCTTCTACATCAACACGTGTCCCCTCTTCTTCATGTCTCTTCCACATCAACATGTGTCCCCTCTTCTTCATGTCTCTTCTACATCAACATGTGTCCCCTCTTCTTCATGTCTCTTCTACATCAACATGTGTCCCCTCTTCTTCATGTCTCTTCTACATCAACATGTGTCCCCTCTTCTTCATGTCTCTTCTACATCAACACGTGTCCCCTCTTCTTCATGTCTCTTCTACATCAACACGTGTCCCCTCTTCTTCATGTCTCTTCCACATCAACACGTGTCCCCTCTTCTTCATGTCTCTTCTACATCAACACGTGTCCCCTCTTCTTCATGTCTCTTCTACATCAACACGTGTCCCCTCTTCTTCATGTCTCTTCCACATCAACACGTGTCCCCTCTTCTTCATGTCTCTTCTACATCAACATGTGTCCCCTCTTCTTCATGTCTCTTCTACATCAACATGTGTCCCCTCTTCTTCATGTCTCTTCTACATCAACATGTGTCCCCTCTTCTTCATGTCTCTTCTACATCAACATGTGTCCCCTCTTCTTCATGTCTCTTCTACATCAACATGTGTCCCCTCTTCTTCATGTCTCTTCTACATCAACATGTGTCCCCTCTTCTTCATGTCTCTTCTACATCAACACGTGTCCCCTCTTCTTCATGTCTCTTCCACATCAACATGTGTCCCCTCTTCTTCATGTCTCTTCTACATCAACATGTGTCCCCTCTTCTTCATGTCTCTTCTACATCAACATGTGTCCCCTCTTCTTCATGTCTCTTCTCCATCAACATGTGTCCCCTCTTCTCCATGTCTCTTCTACATCAACATGTGTCCCCTCTTCTTCATGTCTCTTCCACATCAACACGTGTCCCCTCTTCTTCATGTCTCTTCTACATCAACATGTGTCCCCTCTTCTTCATGTCTCTTCTACATCAACATGTGTCCCCTCTACATCAACATGTGTCCCCTCTACATCAACATGTGTCCCCTCTTCTTCATGTCTCTTCTACATCAACATGTGTCCCCTCTTCTTCATGTCTCTTCTACATCAACATGTGTCCCCTCTTCTTCATGTCTCTTCTACATCAACATGTGTCCCCTCTTCTTCATGTCTCTTCTACATCAACATGTGTCCCCTCTTCTTCATGTCTCTTCTACATCAACATGTGTCTCATCTTCTCCATGTCTCTTCTACATCAACATGTGTCCCCTCTTCTTCATGTCTCTTCTACATCAACATGTGTCCCCTCTTCTTCATGTCTCTTCTACATCAACATGTGTCTCATCTTCTCCATGTCTCTTCTACATCAACATGTGTCCCCCTCTTCTTCATGTCTCTTCTACATCAACATGTGTCCCCTCTTCTTCATGTCTCTTCTACATCAGCATGTGTCCCCTCTTCTTCATGTCTCTTCTACATCAACACGTGTCTCATCTTCTCCATGTCTCTTCTACATCAACATGTGTCCCCTCTTCTTCATGTCTCTTCTACATCAACATGTGTCCCCTCTTCTTCATGTCTCTTCTACATCAACATGTGTCCCCTCTTCTTCATGTCTCTTCTACATCAACACGTGTCTCATCTTCTCCATGTCTCTTCTACATCAACATGTGTCCCCTCTTCTTCATGTCTCTTCTACATCAACATGTGTCCCCTCTTCTTCATGTCTCTTCTACATCAACATGTGTCCCCTCTTCTTCATGTCTCTTCTACATCAACATGTGTCCCCTCTTCTCCATGTCTCTTCTACATCAGCATGTGTCCCCTCTTCTTCATGTCTCTTCTACATCAACACGTGTCTCATCTTCTCCATGTCTCTTCTACATCAACATGTGTCCCCCTCTTCTTCATGTCTCTTCTACATCAACATGTGTCCCCTCTTCTTCATGTCTCTTCTACATCAACATGTGTCCCCTCTTCTTCATGTCTCTTCTACATCAACATGTGTCCCCTCTTCTTCATGTCTCTCCTACATCACCATGTGTCCCCTCTTCTTCATGTCTCTTCTACATCAACATGTGTCCCCTCTTCTTCATGTCTCTTCTACATCACCATGTGTCCCCTCTGTGGAAAGAGACTCTGAAAGTTTCAGGAACAAAGATTCTCTCTCTTTTTGATCCATTTCTATAAAAACCTGTCTGAAAATGAGCTGATCAGATTTTGGCCACGTTATGATGTCATAACGATGTTTTGTCTTGTGTAACCATTAGCCAATCAGCAACCAAGGTAACCCCCCCCCCCCCTTATCACCTGAATCTCCTCCTAGAGCACCATTGAGTTCTTTGTAACCAAATGTCTCTCAGAGGGGCGTGGGGAGGGGCTCCTTATTTTCATCTAAAGTAACAGACAGAGAATCAGCACTTTGGAAACAGGGCTGAAACAGAGGGGATTATGGGTAATGCTGCAATGATCTGTTTGGTGTGTCAGCCAATCAGAGACATGTTTGTATATATCTGAGACCTGTAATATATTGATGAAAACAGTATAATAGTGGACCTTTAAAATATTCTGGTTTATATATAACAGTTTATATTGATTTAGGCAAAAGTTCAGCGAGGTTCAACTATATGCAACTTTTGAGATGTTTCTTTTAATTTAGTGAAGCCTCTAATGAAGTCAACAAGTCTGATTCTAAGAGAGGAAATGATCTCTCTGTGGATCAGGTGAGGTTTACCTGCTCGTCGCTCCGGTGATAGTCGTTCTCCTCCTCTGGTTTCTCCTCTCCCGGCTCCTTATGGACCGCGTCCTCTGTTTTTGTGTCGCCTGTGCAGAAAACCAAAGAGAGGAAGAGCGTTGAGCCGCCATGTTGTAAAATATCCAATCCAACTTTATCTATACAGCACATTTAAAAACAGCCGAGTTGACCAACGTCAATAAATATATAAAATAAATACATTTAGACAAAAAGAAACTAATCTAAAAGCATGAGACAATAAAACCATACTTTATCCACAGACTGAAAAAACCCCTCACACATGACCAGGGTATAAGCAGGAATCCTGAAGTCAAATGTAAAACCTTTTAAGACCCTTTCCATACATTTTAAGACCTCATCGCCACTTAGAGTTTTAACCGGTTACCTTGGCGACACACTTTACCTCACTTGACTATATTCAGTATTGATTGTCCTCCCTCCTTATCTTCCAACCATTTGGACGCAGACTTGCATTTCCCCATAACGATGTTGCTTAGCAACCGGCGTAAATGGACCTTCGCGCGCTATCAAGCAGTGAGCGTGCGATGTCCTGTTCAGATGACGTCAAACCCAACGGGATGCCATCAATAAACTACACAGAATCTCACTACACACCTACGCCATGATTACACTCAGGCAGACTGTAGAACACAACCTCTTTGGACCATTTATATACTTATTGAAAACAAGCTGCAAAATGTAATACCTTGGAAAATGCCGTTTAATACTTTTTAATAGCCTTCATTTTCGCTAAATAGATTTATCAACTTTTAATACTTTTTAAGACCCCGCGGACCCCCTGATAGATATAAAAACATTTTAAAACACAACAAAATAGAAAACCCCAATTTAGAAAACAGACGAATATGTCTTATACGTGGTCTACAAAAGCACGGGAGAACAAGTAGAGATTTAAAGACCTACTATTTAAATTATAAATGAATATCCACCTTCTCAATCAGGCACAGCAACACATCTCAACATCCACACATACATATTAAAAGCAAAACTGATCACAAACATGTCTTTAATTGTTAGTTTAAGGACTCGTCTTTGTCTGTTTACGCTGCGGTCAGATCCACGATGGAGGAGCGACGGATGTTTCTCTAATTAACGTGAACAGTGTTGAGCTTAATTTACGTCCACAGTGCTGTTGATAACTTGTTAGAAACAGACATGTTTGTCTCTGCAGTTTTTTAACAGCCTGTGTTCTTTGGAGCATTCAAACATTTCCTGCAGAGATCCATTTAGTAATTACATGTCCGAGGGTGTCAAAGCGTTCTTTATACGACTTATCCGCTGTCTGGGCACGACTCAAATACAACTTCTAACCAGGAAGACAGCAGGTCGTTCTCCGTACTGATTAACTGAATCGAGGTATCGCCAAGCTCTACCTTCAGGGTTCATACGCTTTTTCACCAATGATTTTCAATGACTTTTCCATGACTCCATGACCGTTACCTAATTTTCCATGACCAAAAACATTACTCTTTCTCGGCGTACCACTGAAAAAGGTTTATTTGAACATGGAACAGGAAAATAAGGTCTGAAACCTGTCGTGCCTATCTAAAACAAATCAAATAGCAGGCTTACCAGCTTCTACACGCTAAAGCAACTCAAATCTCTCACCAGCAAAACACCTCGTCAGTTAAATGCCATTTTGTTTTCATTACTATACCATACAGTATTTATTATCATTATAGTGTCGGCAAATAGCTAAAATATAAATTATATTTGATGCAACTTTAGTTAAATGTCCATGACTTTTCCAAAACTTGGGGGAAAATATTGTTTTCCAGGGCCTGGAATTAGCATTTTGAATTTCCATGACTTTTCCAGGTGCTTAATGACCGTAAGAACCCTGTACCTTGATTCAGTTCTCTTGTTTACATGTTGTGCCTCTTTTCCAGGAACATTTTCTTTCCTAGACCAAAATGTGAGGACAGAGCAGCAGAAGAAAGAGATCCATCACACTGAAGCGTTACTGAGGTAAATATGTTCAGAGTGATGCATGAAAGGTAAGGTGGTGTTTAATAAAACATCAGGAGTGGAGTGCACCAGCTGGGCGTAAACAAGTAGCTTAACTCTAACGTCGGGCTTAGCTACGTCCGACGTAGTGATTCGAATTTACACCGAGTGCACCAAGCCTGACTAGTCTCGGGCGTAGCTGCGCCTGGTCTTAAGATGCGCGTCCACGTGAATACACGCGAAACAGTAATTGTTGCCAAGCAACGCCATTTTACCATTTTACAGACTCAGAGGACCGCAGAGAAGAGGGAATTCCCACACCCACAGCGATGACTCAAGGGGAATCCCAAATGGCCACACCCCGAAAGAGAAAGAGGGATTTGTCAGAGCTACAGCGGGAACTGACGGAGAAAGAAATCGTTCGTGTGGAGGTGGAGACCGTCACATTGAGAGCGGAACACGAAAAAATTGAGCTGGAGAAGGAGAAATTGAGACTCTTCTTAATGCCCTTTCATTGTTAAACATGTAAACAAGACGCCCTGCCATCGTTAATATTCTTCTTGCCTGTTTTACGTTACTATGGATACTAGTCTGTCTTTCCGATGTACGCCTGCTCCATAGGCGTACAAGTTACACCCGGGCGCAACGCATACAGGGCTTAAGTCTAAGTGGTGCACTAGTCATAACTTTAGTTTGGTCTTAACCTTCGGTTCTACGTCGGACGTAGAGTTACGCCCAGCTTACGCCCAGCTGGTGCACTCCACTCCAGATACGTGCTTTGGGTTGAGCTGAAGGAGCCTGTTGGAAGCAGAGCACCTCCACTTGACTATATTACAAGGAGTTTATGTGAAAACCATGAGGTAAAAAGTGTTAGATGCCAGAGAAGGATATGACACAAATGTAAACAAAGTTGTATACATTTGATAAGTTTGTTTGGTGGTCTTAATTGATGGTCTTAATTGACTCATATTTCTTTGGTCTATGAGAAATTGTTCGTGCTTTGTTTCATGCTGAATGACTTATTTGAAGAAACTAAGGAAAGTATCCAAGCATTTTACTTTCATTTGTGTCATAAAATTGAGAATATCAACGTTCTTTCCCTGATAAATGTATTTAATCTCATTCCTGCCTCCTTTACTTTCCTCCTTGTTCCACCTTCAAGGGCCCTAATAGGCCAATTTACAAAAGAGCACTGCCTTAAAAAGATGGTCTTATCTGAGCAACACTCAAAACTCAATGCACAAAACACGTATAATGTGTTTGCAGACACCCGATGTAACACAGTATCCTCATCCTGTCTGTATCTGTTTCACGACTAAATCTGACCCTTTATCCATTCATTGTTTTGGTATATCATTGCAACCAAAAGCATTTTGATGCAGGTCTCCCTTGTAAAAGAGATCCATGATCTCAAGAGACCTATCTGTCTAAATAAAGGTTTGAAATGAAATGAAATTTAAAGGTGGGGTAGGTAAGTTTGAGAAACCGGCTCGAGATACACTTTTTGTTATATTCCATGGAATGCTCTTAACATCCCGATAGCAATGAATATCTTAAGAGCTTTGACAATAAATACATAACAAAATGTCATCTGTGGAAGCCGTAGTACTGTAAAAAGCACGACCAATCATCTGAGCCGGCCCGGCTAAAGTAACTGGATGGCCTACCTGCCTGTCAGCCTTCCATCTGTGCACAAACTTACCTCGTGCCCTCATTGGTCATGTGCGCGTTCGTGTGTGTTGGAGGAGGGGCTCTGTAAGGAAGTGGCAGATTTCTTCCGGTTGTGTATTTTCAAATTCTAGCGCACTCGAGCTGGTTTCTCCAAAATGACCTACCCCACCTTTAAGTTAAATGAATCTAAGTATTTTAGTTCCCAGAGTCTCCTGCTGTCTCACTTCCTATCATACCTGGATTCTTGTGTGCACATAAAGATAAAAGTACACCTAAAAGCGTGTGAAGTAGCTGCTACACACTTGTCCAGGACAAGTGTAGTTATAGAGATATTAGTATGGATTTTCTTGTTGGCTGTAATATCAGGGCAGTATTGATTCTTTCAGATAGACAACTCAGTTATCACAGACACTATTGTGGAACTGTGACACCATTACTGCACGGATAGGTATTGCTTTTCTGTAACCTTTTCTAAAAACAAAGAAATTGGCTCCATTTCTCCTGGATTCAGAGGCTGTAATAACAGAGTGTGTGTGTGTGTGTGTGTGTGTGTGTGTGTGTGTGTGTGTGTGTGTGTGTGTGTGTGTGTGTGTGTGTGTGTGTGTGTGTGTGTGTGTATGTGTATGTGTGTGTGTTCACCCCCTCTGCGACCATTTTCCATTGCGGCTAGGTGTCACCACTCCACTGAGTATTAGAGGAGCGGTCTGGGCTCGTTGGGATGTCTCCAGAGTCCCCTGAACTGATTGCTTATCAACAGATCTCACTCTTGTTGTCCTGTCTCACCTTCAAACAACCCCGGAGTGTCTCTGCCAGTCTAAACAGAGATGAAGAACCTGTGTGTGTTTGCAGAAACTGCATGATTGCTCGAGTCTGGGGGATTTTAAAAAGCAGAGCGTTATGTCTCTTTCAAGGTTTCTGACTCATTGGCTCATTAAGGATCTATCAAATCACAACGGCATGTACAACGAGGATATGAAGCGAGGCGGTGCTGGGTTGAGACGGAGTGTGTGGGAGGTTATATTGTCATTAAAGAGGAAAGTGCACTCCGCTGTCTCATCACAGCACCGTGTGCTTTCGCTTTCTTACGTTAAGTGCTCAAGAAAGCAGACAATCTAGAGAAATGAGTCTGGTGGAGAGCGGGATTTAGTTTGAAGCTGTGAGGTGTTGTTGGGGAGAAAGACCTGGTGTGTTTGTACTTAAAAGTCAAATGAATGGAGTTTCTTTGTCAACATAAGATGTACAGTAGCAATCCCTTAACCAGTTTTTATAAGCATGTATTACAGTGATTCTGATTTGACTTTGAAAACCTCCTGATCGATGAGCATCGGAATGATACGCTAGATTCTCTAGTTTTTCTAGTGTTACAATTTAAATGTAATAATCAATACCTAAGACTAGTGTCCCTCCATTTTCTTACGTTAAGTGCTCAAGAAAGCAGACAATCTAGAGAAATGAGTCTGGTGGAGAGCGATGTTTTGCTTTGAAGCTGTGAGGTGTTGTTCGGGGAAATACCCGTCGTGTTTGCACTTAAAAGTCAAATGAATGGAGTTTCTTTGTCAACATAAGATAAGATGCTAACCCTAGTTTAAGATAATATAATATGTACTTTATTGATCCCAAATTGCAGCAGCATCAAAAACAAGGCATTGCACATAAGTAGAAATTAAAAGAGTAGAAATAAACAATATAAAGCAGGATATTATTAACATTAAGTTATCTAACAATCTTATGTATGTGGATGTTTAACAGTGTGCGTCAAACACAATCAAGTACTTTAAGGTTTTGTATTATATATTTGTTTGTCTATTATTTTCGATTTTTCATATGTATACAATTTCTTTACAAATTAGTTAGTAGACAAGTTAACTTTATTATTTTGACTATTAAAGGTAGGGTAGGTAAGAATGGAGAAACCAGCTCGAGTGCGCTAGAATTTGAAAGTAGGCAGCCGGAAAAAAATCTGCCCCTTCCTTCAGACTTCCTCACAGAGCCCCTCCTCCAACACACACGAACGCGCACATGACCAATGAGGGCACGAGATAAGTTTGTGCCCAGATGGAAGGCTGACAGGCAGGTAGGCCATCCAGTTACTTTAGCCGGCTCAGATGATTGGTCGTGCTTTTTACAGCGCCACGGCTTCCAGAGATGACATTTTTTATGGATTTATTGTCAAAGCATTTAATGTATTCATTGCTATCGGGATGTTAAGAGCATTCCATGGAATATAACAAGCGTTTCTGAAGTGAATTACCTACCCCACCTTGAAGTGTGTGACGAGTTAGGAGGTGCAGAGGACTGACATTATTGTTTTTTTCAGCTTTGAGAATTCACAGCACTCTTATTTCCACAGCGGGAAAAAGGTCAAAAAGTCTGGTGTTAAAACCCTCCTGATTGATGAGCTTCAGAATGATATGCAACCACGCTTGATTTTCTAGTTTTAGTGTTAAAAATAAAAATGTATATGTCAATACCTAAGACTAGAGACGTCATATTTGTTTGCATTTCAGCACACTGAATGTAAACGAAGGTTTGTTATGCCTATTGTATGCAAAGCTACTTTAAAGTATGTTTTATGCTTTACAAATCAACTAGTAAACAAGGTAACTTTATTATTTTGATTATTACGTGTGTGATGAGTGAGGAGGTGCAAAGGACTGACATTTTATTTTTTTTCTCAACTGCATTCAAGTTTGACAACAGCTTTGAGAATTCACAAAACGCAGCAAGCTTATCAACAAAACCTTAAAAATGTCAAAAGGTCTGGTGTTAAAACGCTTAGAACGATATGCTTGATATTCTAGTTGTTCAAGTGTTAAAATAAAATGTATCGATCAATACCTAAGACTAGAGACGTCATTTGTTTGTATTTTATCACACTGAATGTAAACGATACAATACCCGTTTATATTTCTGTTTGTCCAAATGATTCTTTAAACGTGTTTGTGTTTGATAATGTCTGTGTGTCTGTATCGAAACCTGACTCAAAGCGCCGAGGCACAGGAAGCCGGAGAGCACTTCCACTTCCATTTGAGCCTTAATTACCAAAATCAGAGAGGGGGATTAAGTGAGCGATTAGTGCCGGCCTCTGGGCGAACATTCACACACAGTAGCTGGAAGTGAGTCGCAACCGAAAAGCTGTCGAGCACAACAAGGAAGCCGGGGCCTTGTTGTGATTGGCTGAAGTGTCTCCATCTACTGCCTAATGGGGTCTGCTGCTACTCGTGGCTAATGTTATCATTATGATGTCAGTGTTTATATAATACAGTGAGAGGAACTGGAAGATCCCGCTGAAGAAATTATATACACGGTTTCGAGAAATGTTGTGCTTGTATATTTACACTGTTTTGGTAAAGAGATTTTTCGCAAATGAACACATGTTTTTTGCTTCCTGTTTCACAATGGCCTAAAGTCTTATGTTATGCTTGAAGAACTGGTATTTTATCATAAACTTGGGAATATAAAATGGACTCTTAGTGGTTTTGTTGATCTCTCTTACAGGAAGTGGTGTTTCCTTTCCTGCTTATGGCTCAAATTGACTCCGAAAGAAAAGCCAATATGTTGCTTGTAGTACATTTTGAAGACATGTCTTGACTCGGGTTAATGGTCTGTGTATGACTCAAACCAACAATGAGATTGGGTTAGTTAGCACACTTCAGAGCATTGAGCTATTCAAAGTAAAAGTGCTCCTTCAAGACATTTCCAACAATCAACACACGTTTATATCCATGAAGAACTATAAATAAATGAAAAACCTCGATGTAAATGTCTCCCGGTAACCCTTTCCATTAAAGAATAAACCCACTTTAATGTGCCCACACTCAAATATAATGAGAAATGTAGAAAAACAAACGCATATATGGCGAGTACACATGACTGTGCTTTATAAAAGGTTATGTTTATCTCAGTCAAGTTCTAAAGTGTTCATCTTCACCCTTTAGTGGACGCTTGTAGGACCACTTTATTGTTCGTTTGATCAGTCAAATGTACTTCCATTGTTATTTGGAGGACTTCAACACAGAACTCATATCCCATAATAAAACTCAATACTGTGGGCAAGAGCAATTTGGGGTGAAGTGTCTCAGGGACACAACGACATCATCGACACCTACGCACAACCCACTGCGCCACACGCCTCCTCATGTTGGTTATGAACTACCTTAAGGTCCTATTGCACCTCTGTCAGCAGAAATTGGATTCAGGATTAATTTACATATTCAAACAGACAGAGAACATCTTTGAGCTGAAGGAGGAAGTGTTGGATCGTACCGTTGCGTTGATCTAGATGCGTCTTCATGTGGCAATGATCTCCTTTAATGTCTCCCGGCACCTCCATCCCCAACTTATGATAAAAGTCCCGCTGCTTCTTTATCTCCGCTGCAGGAGACAAGGGAGGAAGAGAGGAACAGTTAGCGAGGACAGAGACTATCTGTCAAGGTCACTGGGTCTTTAAAAACTCAATGGTGTGTGTAGCTATGTGTGTGTGCAATGAAAACAGCTTCAATAAGTCTTCTAAGTGCAGCAATGACAGTGTAAATATTGCATACAAATGTAATGCTGTCAAAGTGAGGCCAAACACAAACAGGAAGTGATAAAAGAAATCAGTAGTGACAGTAGAAGTGGAGTTTTAAGGCTTTTAGTTTTATTGTTTGTGTGTTGCATCGTTAAAAAGGACAATAAACACAACTCACCCTCTTGAAGTCCCGGTACCAATTTGTAGACAATGTCTTGCATTGTTCTGTCATGGCTGAAAAGAACAAGACATTGGTAAGCAACCTTATCATGTGAAACACAAACATATGTGACCTGCTCCATCGAAATCAGTCGCATTGACCCGAAGACACATTTTGAGTTGTATACACTGCTGGAAAGAGGATATTCCTAGCTTTCCAATGATATCAGGATTGTTTTTGTACTCCGAATACTAATCGAAATATGTCACATTATATAATGACTGTCACCGAGTCCTCATTTTGAGAAAAAGGCCTTCAAAGTTTTCTCTTCTCTGGAATCCATCGATCTGATTGGTTATTAGCAAATGATCAAAATACTACGGAGGGAAGATATTTTCGTTTGGATTACTGGTCTGGGGGAAGCTCGCGAGTGTGTGTGTGTGTGTGTGTGTGTGTGTGTGTGTGTGTGTGTGTGTGTGTGTGTGTGTGTGTGTGTGTGTGTGTGTGTGTGTGTGTGTGTGTGTGTGTGTGTGTAATTTGGCGTTTGTGTGTATTGTGTTTGTTTCCCGGGGAAAACACTCACGAGAAACACCGGCTGTTGTTATGCCTGCTGTGACGTCAAGTCACTCCGTTCTCCGCTTGTAATTATGCCGAAGCTTCAAAGTTGTATTTATCATCTGAATTTACCGAAACAAGTTTAATATTCTGAAAGCCAAGACTTTGTTTAATTGAAATCAGATGAAAACAAACTGTAACGGACCCTGCGGTGTTATTTATGATTACTATGCCTTACATTCATAATGTCAGCCGGAGGGAGGGGGGGCGGCGCTGAGGAACAGCAGATCGCGAGTGAGAGGTGCCTGTCATCTTCCCTTTACGAGCTTCAAACATGTATTTATCGTGTGATTTTGGAAATAAAAGTTTCATATTCTGAAAGCCAAGACTTTGTTTGTTTAAAATCAAACAAAACACCCGAACCCCGAAAAAATAGTTTTTTACGCAAATCCACGTTTATTTTGAAATGAGCCGTTGCGACTTCCGACTGATTTCGATAGAGCGGGTCACATATGATTTAAAATAGTTTACCAAAAGACTTAGTTTATTTGCAGATATACAAATCTAAAATGAGTGTAACAAAAATGTTAAAAAAATAAAAACACATTATGCATAACCCTCTTTTGAGTATACTGTAGACTCGGTGACACTGTCTGCTGTTCAGCTCTACTCAACAGTAACCATAGAGGCAGTTATTGAGAAATGTCCAGTGGTTTAGTCAAATAAAAGTCAATGCCAGCTGCTCTCAGGGGCCATGGTGTTAAATATTCTTCCTGTAAAGCTGTGCAGGTGACACACAGAGTGGACTCGGGGCTGCCGTCACCATGCTGCTGCGTTTTGACAACCAGATAATGGACATGTGGAGTTTGTTCTGATTTTATGGAGGAAAAACTCTTGAAATACAAGTGGCATGCTTGAGTCACTGTAAGGTACACAGCGACACACTGACCCCTGCTGCATACTTTTGGAGGATTAACACTTAATGACAGTGTGCAAATGTTACGCAGATTAAAGAAACCTCGGTTAAACGTATTATTAATTTGAAAGGGCTGTTGGACGGACTAACACCATTCTTTTAAAACAATATTAACCGAGGGGAGTTTATTATAGTGGTGATGGAGGTCTAACACATTGCGTCCCATTGGTTTTTCCTTTTATATGCCAACTGCCTGTAGCTGTTCATGTATCATAGAGACCTGCCCCCCCATGTCAAATTGTCGCCCACTTTCGAGTCAGTCTAAGCTACGCTCTACCTATTCTATGCTTTTATTGTCTGTCCATAGCCTTTATGTGCCTTGTATCCATTCTGTTATAATGTTATGTTCCTTATGAAGCACTTTGGCAAACCCTCTGTTTTTAAAATGTGCTATAGAAATAGAGTGGATTGGATATATGTATATAATACTATGCAATCTTTCTTTTTGGTCCTTTGTGTAACTGTGTTTAATTGGCTTGTATGTTGCCTGCGTAGTGTTTCTAACAATAACATTACACATTTCATTTTAGATTACTTTATTGTCATTACAAAATGCAAGCACAGTGTAACGAAATTAAGGAGGGTCTAACCAGACAGTCAGTTATATAAACAATTATCAGAAGTATGTACAAAATAAATGATACAAAAAGAAACGTAAATAGATGGGAATAAATACACAGATAATAATAAATACAGTACTGTGTATAAAACGGTAATGTACAAGGATAATTGCGCTTCAGCACAGCACAACAACTGGGCAGTATGGGTCAATTCGATTTTCTCCAGGTTAAATAAAGGATTAACAAATAGTGTGTAAAGGTAAAAGTGTTTTTATAAAGTACCTAAAAAGCGAGGGGGGTCAAAATGGCTGCTTAAGCACGAGTCTATAAAAACAGTTTAGATTTTAAGACATGAACTTTTTTTGTTTTCGTATGACCAACAAGACAAGACATCACCTTGGACTTTGGGGAACTGATTAATACAAAAAATGATGTTGGTTTATTCAATATTTGAAATATTCATAATTAGTTGAAGCCCTAGAGTTTAATGAAAGGGTGTGAAGAACCTTTGATGGTATACAAAACTATTTGTATTATGTATTTATTTTTCAAAATGACTGATACCTGATTACCTGTGACTTTAACTCGTATTCTTTATTAACAAATAGTCAGCAGCTGTATTAACTTGTTTTCTTCCCAGAACGAAAGAATGCCAGGCTGCTCTTTGCAGGATTTAGAGTCAAGCTAATTGTTCTTCGTTATTATCATGTGAAATGAAGGAAAGCCGCACTTGACAGAACAAGCGTCTGGATTATCTGAGCCGTTCTCTGAGAGTTTAATCTCAAACATTAACTCTGATCAGTCCTCTGATGAGCAGATGGGTTTTATCGGGAGTTTGGCCTTGAAATCACTTCTGATGTTTCCCATCAACTCTGATTTCCTGAAAACACTGAGGCAAAAAACCCAACAGCTGTTCCAAGAGCTCAAATTAGGCCTTTCCTGCGAACAATGAGTCTGCAGACAGCGAGGTGTGCACGGCAATGTCTGAATGTGTTGGTTCACTTTAAGTTTGTGTGGGGTATTTAATAGAAACTAATGCATGAGCACTGGCAGGAATAACAACATCCTGAAGAGAGGAGGATTACATCTGTCAAAGGTCATTAATAAAAAACTAAAACGTACTTGTTTATTTAAACCTGAAGATAATTTAACATCAAAGCATTTAATATTCAAAGTCTTTTATTTGATTGACTGGAGAACTGAATCTGTGTGTGGAAATAAGAGACAATTACTTATATTTATTCCTTTTTTTTTTTTAATACACATTTTATTTTTGTTATTTAATTTAATTGATTTTATTTAAATGTATTTAATTTATTTAATTTATTTTTATTTTCATTGATTTTATTTTATTTTATTTATTGTATTTAATTGATTTTATTTGTGTATTCTTAACTTCTATTTCATCCTAGTTGTGCTTATTGAGATCTACCTCAGTTGTAAAACGTTACTGAGCTCAGTTTACTGGACCTTGTCCGTTAGTAATGCCACATATTATTAGTTTACACTATTTTGTCCACATGAAAAGGAAACTCCCCTGCTTATCAAAGTGTGGAGTGTTCCTGCATTTGTGAAATGAATATTGCATAAATCCTTCGGTGAGAGAGCCGAGAGAAATCTGATAAACTGCCTCAAGTGATTTCAAGTCCTCCAATGGGACAAAAGCAGCACGTGTAAACATGAATACTGATTATATAAGTCTGATTTATGTGGACTAGAATAACATACATGCCCCATGAGGAGTGAGAAATTAAGTTTTTCTGGTCAGTAATAATCAAGTTAATTAATAAAATCTGCACCCTCAGATGAAACAACAAATATGTTAAGTTATTTTCATGTATTTATTATTTATTGCACCCTTTCCTGTTTTATGTCTAGTTTATCTAAGAGACAGAATTGGTAATGGGTTCAGGTTATGAGTGTAATCGTGTGTTGCATTATTTATTAACTGGCCCTTATTATGTTGATAATCTATGCTCTTAAAAACACCCCCCCCCCCGCCCCACGAGCAGAGACCCCCCACCGAGCAGAGTGACTGCAGACGGGGTTCACTTCCTGCAGGAGAGTGGAAATAAAAAGTGAGAGGCCGACTCTCTGCTCCTCTGTTTACCAGCAGAGGATCCCCAGAGACACACTGATGGAGCTCTGACAAACACCAGAGTGTGTGTGTGTGTGTGTGTGTGTGTGTGTGTGTGTGTGTGTGTGTGTGTGTGTGTGTGTGTGTGTGTGTGTGTGTGTGTGTGTGTGTGTGTGTGTGTGTGTGTGTGTGTGCTCACTCACCCGATGTACTGCAGTGGATGGCTCTGATGAATAACAATCCTACACGTGGGGCACGTGTTGTTTTCCTCCAGATACTTCACTAGGCAGCTTCTGCAGACTATAGACACACAAAAAGACACACACACACAAATGGGATATATGGTTACTCCTAGCTGTATTTTAACAAACACTTTTTCAACTTTTAGCTCATTTATAGTCAAACCCATGACAAAACCATAATCAGAGTTATTTGCCGATTTGGACTCAAATCACAAATAGAGTCGAAATAAAAACTATTGATTTAAAGCATGACAAACATTATCAGCCTTTCAAGATCTCATGTCAGTTTACTGCCAGCTGCAAAGTGAGCACATTTTAACATCGTTAGCTCATAGTAATTGTGCAGTTTTTTAAGTATCGAAGATTTATTTCATATGGATGGTTGGATCAGCTGATAAGGAACCAGAAATGTCAGTACTGAAGTGTCCAACATATATTTAAGGTAATGTGTCTTCAATACCCTGTTTGTCCACCAGAGGGCATTGAGAGATTATTTTATACTGTAAATACATTTTTCGTCAATTATTTAACAAGCTAATGTTAAGGCTCCATTATAGTAAAGGTGTCTATGTTAGAAGCAAGTCTCAGAAGATAATGTATCATTATTTTGAATTTACAAATATGCAGTAAGTGCAGTATTTGTTGAAATGTGCTTGTGGTGGGTTGGAAGTGTATTCTTAATCTATGATGATACGATATGACGCTGCTGTCATGATCTTGTTTCAAAGCTGTTACAACCTCAGGACTTTTAATGAATAGTATAATATACAACAATGGTGCATGAACTTAAATCCTTCATATTCATAATACAGGACATGTTTAGAGATCAAACATCAAATCCATCTGCAGCATGTTTGTATTTTAGTCTCAGTTGCATTTGTCTTTGTGTGATGTGAATCTCTTTGTTTAAAGTCTGTGATGTTGGAGCGTCTTCTTCAAAGTGATGAAGAATCAAAGCTACTCTGATGTTTCCACAGAAGAAGAACAGCTCTCATTTGCAGTGGAAGAGCTCCCTCTGGTGGACAGGCGCATAACTACACTGTCTGGGTTCTCATTACACTTCTGATACAAGTTGTTCTTAACCCTTATGTTGTGTTCGGGTCTCCCGTGACAAGTTACAATTATATAATAACTACGCTCTAGTTTGTTGTATCGGAACAAGGCTTCATGATATCCTCCACAACAGCTTACAGCTACAAAACTGATTTTGACTATTTTAGCCAAGTCTGAAGGTCTCTAAAAACAAAGTGTATCATTTGGTGTTGGGGTTAGGGGAGACGGGGAGACCCGGCAGCATGTTGTGGGTGACTCGAGGTCAAATTTGGCCCAATCAAGATTCATCTTTGACTTTAGACACCCCTCCCCCCCTTCATCCACTGTAACAATCATTTTTCGCTACATGCACCTGGTCTCCCCGCCCTCTGCCCCCCTCCCCCCACAGGAACTCCACCTTTCTCAAAGAATATGTACACTAACACTTGAACCTGAACACACACATGCACGTGTGCAATATGTGGTGTAATGTGGGGCCATAACATTAAATTACAACAGTATTGTACGGTTATGAATGCATTATAAGTTAGTTATGGTGTAGTTAAAACAATATTGGATGATAGCCTTTTTTTTTTGTGTGTTTTGGACTGAGATAAATCATGGGTCAGAATTGACCCGCGAACACCATGAACGGTAACAGCTTTCGAACACAACACAAGGGTTAAATACAACTGCAAGCTTTTGTTAGCTTATAGGTCTAAAGTACAGTATGCTGCAAATATTACCAGGGAGAAAGTAGTGGAGTAAAATAAAGCAGGATAAAATGTAAATACTCGGGTAAAGTACATCGAAATTGTATGCAAGTAAATGTGCTTCACTGCTTTCCACCACTGGTTTTTCTCACTTTAAATGAACAAAACGTTTTCTCTTCAGTGTGTTTCAGAAGAACCACAGAGGGATTGATTGGTCGACAGTCCAGTTTGATCACATGACTCTCACTGTACCGGGAATACATGTGTTAAGTTCGATAAAACAGCTCCAATATCAGCAGGGGTGAGAATGCCTTTAATCTCAAAATCCATACTCAACTGATTATTATTCAGAATTATTTTCTCACAGCGTAAACCTCTAAATATTAACCGGCTGAGAGGTCATGTGAGCATTAAAGGGCGCCTGAGGCCGAGTTAACTCAGTCACCCTCTCCGTTTCTTATAAATCGGAAAACTCAGGGTCAGACTTCAGCTGCTCGATGATATTCAGCTCAACCTCACCATGACATACTGAAGTGTAGATGTGTGTTAAAAGTGGGAGAGTTGCCTATTCCCACTTTTATATGAGGGCTAATAAATGTGCAGATTAGCTTCAAGTTAAAAGCTGTGGGTATTAATATTAAAGGGGCTCTATTCTGCTACTTTTCAGGTTCCCATTTCTATTTTGTGGCTCTACTGTGACATGTTTGCATGCTTTAATGTTCAACAAGTTGCCTTTGCAGACCATTAACATGCACTTAAACCAATATAACATTACAAGAAAGGGAAACTCCAAAAGCACAATAGAGCCTCTTTAAAATGACCTTCATCTAAACCATATAGAAGGTTGTGTATTATGAGTAAGATGGTCAAATGTCATAGATATGGCTGTAAGTCAAAATGCAGCTTCAGATAAAGCCGCCTGTTTCCCAGAGAGATATTTTTTCTCTCCGGGATTCTTCCCTTTGGAGATAAATCCCAAAGGCAACACCTTCAGAGCCAAGAACAACAAACACAGCCCATGTGTCGAATACACAAGAGCAATAAAAGAGGAACAGATGACATGAGAAAGAGAAACAGGAAGAAATCTGACAGGTGGGAAGCAGAAGTGAAGCAGACATCAGAGGCAGACAGGAAGTGTGTGTGTGTGTGAGAGAGAGAGAGAGAGAGAGAGAGTGAGAGAGAGAGAGTGTGTGTGAGAGTGTGTGTGTGTGACAGTTTTTAAATGCCATTTTCTTAATGTCTTTCATTTTTGTAAAGCACTTTGAATTGCCTTGTGTTGAAAGGTGCTATATAAATAAACTTGCTGTGTGTGTGTGTGTGTGTGTGTGTGTGTGTGTGTGTGTGTGTGTGTGTGTGTGTGTGTGTGTGTGTGTGTGTATGTGTGTGTGGACCTACAGGTGTGTAAGCACTCGGTGACGGTGGTGGCGTCGATCAGGTATCCATCACACAGACGACATGTGATGTGGGCGTTGATGTGACACAGCTTTATCTTCCTCGTCAGCATGTCGGGGTTCTGGGGAAGAAGGAGAAGACATTTATATTATTAAAGCTCAAATTGAAGTTAAAATGAACTCACGCAAGCTGAATAGAAGACATCGAAGGTTGACTCCTTATTGTTGTTATTTAAGGTCATCTTTACGAGAATATTTACTAATGGAACTGATGCTGATTTACTTTGAAGTAACAATTATAGTTACTTTTTACCTACTTTTATTATTTAACCATTTATCCAATTGCTCTTACTATTTCAACGCTTTACCCTTTAACCCTATTTCAAAACCTCTGTTCCCTTTAAGTTATCTGATTATTTAACCATTCATCTATTAGCTTTTAGTTATTCCAACCATGTATTTGTTTCTTAGCTTATTATTTTAAATATTAGCCATTTCAACCATTTCTCCGTTGAGCACGTTTCAATCTCTGCTCGCGTGTTCAAGCATTACCTTTGATTTAGTTTTTGTATTCTATTTCATGTTTTAGACCCAACTCTATCTCCGTTTGTGTGGCAGTAGTGATTATTATTAAGGCAGGTAACAGTACATCTGTATTGCTCATTATATCTCCGTTCACAGTGAAGACCAAGGGTATCTAAGAAAAGCTGCAATACTCTGGGTTACATGACATTACATTTAGCTGACGATTTTATCCAAAGCGACTTCAATAAGTACATTCGACCAGGAAGACACAACCTTGAAGAAAACAGAATCATATAAGTACATCAGGTTTCATAGAGCCAAACATTTCAAGTGCTACTCAACTAGCTTTAGATAAGCCAGTACTTTATTAGTATATAAGTGCTTTGTTAGCAGTTCTTTGTTAATAGTTCTATCGCTCAAAGTGGAGTCGAAAGAGATGAGTTTTCAGTTTGCGCCGGAAGATGTGCAAGCTATCTGCTGTCCTGATGTCAATGGGGAGCTCATTCCACCATCTTGGAGCCAGGACAGCAAACCCACGTGTTTTTGCTGATGGGAACTTGGGTCCCCTTCGCAGCGAGGGTGCAACGAGTCGTTTGGCTGATGCAGAGCATAGTGCACGCGCTGGGGTGTACGGTTTAACCATGTCTTGGATGTAGGAAGGGCCAGATCCATTCGCAGCATGGTAAGCAAGTACCAGTGTCTTGAAGTGGATTCTAGCAGTTACCGGAAGCCAGTGAAGGGAGCGGAGGAGCGGAGTGGTGTGGGAGAATTTAGGAAGGTTGAAGACCAGACGAGCCGCTGCATTCTGGATGAGCTGCAGAGGTCGGATGGCACATGCAGGTAGACCAGCCAGGAGGGAGTTGCAGTAGTCTAGGCGTGAGGTTTAGCGCAACATGTATCTGCAGGGTCTCATCAGATATCAGACAGGCAGCGACAGTAGGGATGCACGATATATCCTGTCGTGACGATAATCGCGATATTCACATCGCAGGACATGCGATTTCTTTCTTTTTTTTAGGACGTGCGATATTAAGTAGGCAAATGAACTCAAACACGTCATGTTACAATTATTTTTTGCTGCTTGCTACAAAATGAAAACTCGCGTGGCTCTCATGTCAGGGGCACTTGAGTGAGTGACAGGCCGGCTCTGCATGCACAGCAAACCACCATCACAACCATTCTTGATCAGATCACAGCAGGATAACCGAGCTAGCTCAGCTTGTTGCTCTGATAACTTAAGATCCAGAAGTCCGTGACTAAAATCCTTCATCCGGTTAAATATCGTTAAAAAAATACCAATTGTATTTCATTAAAGTTCAAGAAAGGATGCTGTCTTTTCTTCAATTCCTGTATTTTTCATATCGCAATATATATATATATATATATATATATATATATATATATATATATATATCTATCACAGGGGAAAAAATATCACAAAGTCAGTTTTTTCAAATGTCGAGCAGCCCTAAGCGACAGGGAGCTCAGCTGCTGATTAAAAAGTTGTGAATGAAAATGATTGTGAAAGCAGAGATTTGCTCTGCTGAGGTGTGTTGAGAAACTGAATGACTAACTGTGGTTTCACTATCAGCTCAGAAACATCCATCAACAGATTCAGTTTCCTTATTTCTGCTCCTGGTTTTACGATAAACACTCACTAGTAGTCGAATCTGACCAAAACACACCTAGTGACATACCTTCAATTAAACCTCTTTTAAAACGTATTACAGGTGCAGTGTCCTCACTCTAAAATCAGCCTCCTCTGTTGCTCTCCCTGAGGTTTCTCCCATGTTCCCTTTAAACTGTGGGCTTTCTCTGGAAGTTTTTCCTTGTACGATGTGAGGGTCTAAGGACAGAGGGTCTAAGGACAGAGGGTATAAGGACAGAGGGTCTAAGGACAGAGGGTCTAAGGACAGAGGGTCTGAGGACAGAGGGTCTAAGGACAGAGGGTCTAAGGACAGAGGGTCTAAGGACAGAGGGTCTAAGGACAAAGGATCTAAGGACAGAGGATCTAAGGACAGAGGGTCTAAGGACAGAGGGTCTAAGGACAGAGGGTCTAAGGACAGAGGGTCTAAGGACAGAGGGTCTAAGGACAAAGGATCTAAGGACAGAGGGTCTAAGGACAGAGGGTCTAAGGACAGAGGGTCTAAGGACAGAGGGTGTCGTATTGTCATACTGATATCCTGAACAATCTGTGTTGTTGTATTTGCTGTAAAGCGTCTCTACTGTAGGCTATTTTTATTATATGTACAGCACTTTGGCTCCACCAAAAATCGTTTATAAATGTGCTATATAAATAAAACTTGATTTGATTTGAGCCAACAGTGAGTGTTTAGCTTTTAATCTAAGTATCTCATAACTTTGAGCTCACAGTGTCAAACGTGCAGAATGGCTTCGCAGGATAACAAAATGTGTGTGAGCTCTAAAAAGAAAATCTGCCCTCCTCTCAGTATGACAATGTAAAAAGACACAAGAGGTAAAGCTCAATCCGACTTAGAGCAGATAATAATTGGCTTTATTCATCTTGACAACCTTACCACTGCTTAGCTAACATCAGCAGTAAATATACAAATAGACATATTGCTCTTTTCTCTGAATAACGTTGCTCTAAAAACTAAGAAATTGAAAGGTAAGTAATAGGAAATAATTAAAAATAACCACTACATACTTCTATCTGTAAAAAACATATTGTGATTATTTTTGCATTATTTACGATAGTTTGAAAAACCTTGAGTGCCATTGGTCGATCGTCCAGACATATGGACCTTCTATATTCTATCCAAGTTGATCTCAGGTCCAGGGTTCATACACTTTTTCACCAATGATTTTCAATGACTTCTCCATGACCTTTACCTAATTTTCCATGACCAAAAACATTACTCTCTCAGCGGTGCCACTGAAAATGGTTTATTTGAACATGAAACAGGAAAATCAGGTCTGCATATGAAACCTGTTGTGCCTATCTGAAACAAATCAACCACGCTAAAGCAACTCAACTCTCTCACCAGCAAAATACCTCGTCAGTTAAATGCCATTGTACGTTAATTACTATACAGTATGTATTATCATTATAGTATTACTATTACGGCTATTTGATGCAACGTTAGTTACATTTCCATGACTTTTCCAAAACTTTGGGAAAAATATTGTTTTCCATAACTTTTCCAGGGCCTGGAATTAACATTTTGAATTCCCATGACTTTTCCAGGTTTGTAATGACCGTGACCCTGCAGGTCAGTATAAATGCCCAAATACACTGAGTCCTGTCAATAGCAGGTACATATTACGTTAGGATGGCTGTCATGTTCTGAAGGGAGGTTGTGGCTCAGTGGATAGTGTGCTGGACTTTGAATCAGGGGGAAGCAAGTTCGAGTCCCACTGCAGTCAGCATGTCGTTGTGTCGCTGAGACACTTCACCCCAAATGGCTCCTGTGGGGATTGTCCACTGAATGCATGTTAGTCGCTTTGGATAAAAGCGTCTAACAAATGACATGTAATGTTCTGAAATGATTGCCGTTGACAGGATGACGGTCAGACTTTCTTATTAGCTGGAACATACAGAGCCTTTCTGTCCATAAACTATAAATCTAAAATAAGAAATTCAAAGAGAATGTCAGAGCTGCAGTTTGTGAAAGAGGATTTCTCTTCAGAAGCAGCTCCACAGTCTGAGCAGAGAACAGAAACCCTGAGGAGACGACTGGAGATCCTCTCGAGTCTTTTTACATCAAACATATCTGTGGTGTCTAGACTCACATCATATCTGGTGTTTGTCTCTAGCCTACCTACTGTTTACCTCACATCTTCTGCTTTCTCAATCCGTTCAATCAACAGATGCTGCTTTTCAATCTAAACACTTCCCTGAGCACACTGTTTGTCGTACACTAAACAATTGGACATGTGAATTTCAACCGAGTCGTGTTGTTAAAATATTTAAAAAATGACCCAGAAATGTGGCTTTTATTAGCATAGTGCTGTGTTACTGGACTAACTGCAACCTGGTGGCGCAACTTCCGTTACCAAGTGGTCGTTGAGTGCGATACGTTTTTTATGTTCTGTCTTTATTTAAAACAATATGAACAGACACTTTGTACACCAGGGAGTTCATCCATGTCCTTTTAGAAAATCAAATAAAAGGTCTTTCCTTTTCATGTTGTCCTGTAAGGTGCCTTAAGTTCAGAGGTGGAAGTAACTTAGTACATTTCCTCAAGTACTTGTACTTTACTTGAGTATTTGCATTGTATGCTACTCAGTACTTCTACTCCACTACATGTATCTAATCCCTTTAGTTACTTCTCAGATGTGGATGAATGATGTGAAATCTAATCAAGTGTTAAATCAGACTTTAGTTCCACCTGGAGTAAATCCACCAGCTACCCTGCAGTATACAAAGTCATTCAAACTAGCTGCACCTTCACCAGCTTTGAGAACACTTTCATGATCAATCATTATAAAACATATCATATATATTATTCTGAAATGGACCAATCTGCACAACGACTACTTTACTGTCGCTACTTTCACTATATTTTGATGAGAATACTTTTCTACTTTCACTTGAGGAACATTTTGAATGCAGGACTTTTACTGTAACAGAGTA